CCGGCATTCAGCAAGCCCAAGGAAGCTCGCCAAACATGCCCAGCTCACCAGCACGAGTTGGGGTTTGCCTGAACATTTGGCTCGCCCGCATGAGCCAAAACACTTGTCTGCTTGACTCCAGCCGTCAACCCGCCGTCATGAGCACGCTCAGACAGATTCAATGCACTTGAATAGCATTACTCGTATGCCGCAGCCAAGCCCTCTTGTAGAGTTGCCACACGAACTCCGCTTATCAACGAGACCCGCTCATGTTGGAGGGATCCTTGTTCGCCAAGCTCACCTGAGCATTCAGACGGCTCTCAAGCTCGCCTGCTCACCTGTCAGCCTCGCCTGAATAATGCAAGCGGCTGTTCGCCTAGGGGAGTGGGCCCACCCACTTCCCACGTCCTGGGTGATGATGATGCATGACTCTCATCACCCCTAGAGTGGTCACACCCACAGCTAGAGGGGAGGGTATGGTGCTCCTCACCCATTGGTGGTCACATCCCACAAATCAAGGGATGACTCATGCATTCCCATGCCTATTTATAACCACTCTTTGCCAACAAAGAGGGGGTTCAGTTCCAGAGGCTGGCTATTTTCATTTGCAAGGCTTAATCATCTAAAGACTTGCTCTTGGTTTCTTCACTTTTGAAGATTAGCTAATTGACTCTCTCAAGGCTCTTCGAATAGAGGCTTTCATTAACTTATTTGTTAGAACCTTCCTAGCTTTTTACTTGGTCTGTTGAAGTAGACTTAATCTAAATTCTTAGATTTTGAGGCTCTTGAGCTCTTTGCAAACTCTTGCATTGTAGCCCGCTCTAAGCATTCGGCTAAGCTCGGGTAGATTCGAACTCAACAACACCAGAGCTTTTACTACGTACTAAAGCTCAACCGCAACTTCGATCATATCATCCAAGGGAAGCAAACTCGACGCAAGCATTCGAGTGAGTCATCCTATCGCTACCAAAGGATCCATGTTAAACAAGAAGGGCCTTCCCTTCGCTTCTGTTATAAACTTTGGATTACATTTGATTTGTAACAAACATTCAATTAATACAAATATCCTTTGAGACCCGAAACTTTATTGCCCCTACACTTTCTAACTTCGACTACACGCAAGCAGCCGTTTCCTCTCCATCCACCAAGAAAACTACATCACTTTCAAGGCATAGGATAATCGACGCTTGTGCTTTCAGATCTAGCTCCTCCTAATCCTCATCAGACATATCCTTGTGCTTCTTCTCTTTTCCCACTAAAGCTTTGTGCAATTTCTTTGAGATCAATGAATTCTTCATCTGCATCACCCAATAAGAAAAATCATTCTTCCCATTGAACTTTTCGATCTCGTACTTTCTAACTTTAACCGTCTTGCTGATTGACGCCATCCTTCGCTTGATTAATAATACCTCTCTCTAACCAATTACTCTGATACCAATTATTAGGGTAGATCCAACCACCCTCTTGACGCGGAAGCGAGTAACCTCGAGAAAAGAACCTAGCTTCAGCTTATACAAAACTCAAACTAACCGAATTAAGCAATAGCGTAATGCAAAATAATAAGTAAAGACACGAGACACAGAAGTTACGTGGTTCGGCAAATTGTCTATGTTCACGGAGGGGTGCAGAGGGATTTCACTATGAAGGAGAAACTCCTGACGACTTGTACAATCCACAAGCTCGTCCCAAAGAAATAAAGCTTCGATTTTTACCCAAGAAAGAACAACCTCTCTCTTGTACAATCGCTCCAAGCAAACTCTCTTTTTCTCTCTCTCTCTCTCTCTCAAGATCTCTCTGAACTCTCAGGAATTCATATTGCATAAACCCTAGAAACATAGATTTCTAATATATATCAAACAGCAATCCCAAACGGGTTTGGAAACGAACTGAGCTTTTGCCCGTATCGTGATCGACCGCTCATTTGACCGCGGGCGACCGGTCAAAGCTACGACTGTAGACTCTGCTCGTGCATGTTTTTGGTCGACCACACTTGTGTCCGCGGTCGACCGGCCAGAGAAGTGAAAACTCCTCCTGTAATCGAACAGCTCGCGGTCGACCGCACATGTGGCCTTACTCTTCATTTTTCTTTTAGCTTTGTTGTTTCCGCCTTTTCTTCTACAACTACCATCCACTACTTAATAACTCCCTCCACTCCCTATATATTTTGTAATAGTAAGATACTTTATCTCACGTTATATCACTTCTAGCAATAATTTTCTAAAAATCTATTCATATTGGCATCGCTTATTAATGTCTTAAATTAATTTATACGTACTAATTTATTATGCAATGCATGCATCACATGTACCAGAGTACTAGTGAAAATAATGATAACTATTCCTCTTTACAAACACCAAAACAGAATAAATGATTAATGCAATTCCTTTTTAAATGATGAATTAATTTAATTATTTTCCTTGACCTCTTCTCTTTAACCTATGGGCACATGAATCCAAACTATTCATATATTATGTTTTGGTGTAACTTGACAACTTGGCAAGTCATCAATAAAGTACAATATCTTCTAATTATGTTTTCTTAGCACTATATAATGGAATTATGCTGTAGCAGATTGAAAAACCAGAATATTTTCAAAATGTTTTGAATACATTATCTTCATATGATTAGGACAACAAAATCCAATGACTATGGACGATCTTTGGCATAGAAATTATCCATCCCCCCCCCCCCCCCCAAAAAAAAAAAAAGTGTTTAACAACAAAAAGCTAGAATTTAGGAGCCAACAGATTGAAACATATTGTATCTCATTAAAATGTGGCATACTAAATACATAAATGTGGCAAGCTATTATGAGACTGAAAGGAGATCAGATTAGAATCGACAAATTTTAACTCAAATTTAAATAAAAGGTTATTTATCGCTCCTAATAATAATAATAAAGGGTTATTTTCATATAAATACCCTAAAGTTGACACCATTTATATCTTTGACACCATTAATTTTATTTACCAAAAAATACCTTAAATTTATAAAGAAAGATAACACTTGCAACCTTGCTAAGTTGTTATGGGGTATAATAGCTTATTTTTTTGATCTTCAGGGTATTATTTAAGCATCCAATAGTAACTTTAACATATCAAAGTTGAAAACCTAAGTGCAAATAATTCATAACTTATAAATAAGGACAAAAAATTTATTCTGTAATGTTGAAAATAACAACAACAACAACATTAACGCCTTTATCACAGATGTCGGCTACATAAATCCTATTCTTTCATTCCATTCAATTATGGGACATCTTCCCCCGCTAAGTTAAACATTACCATGTCATTCTTAATTGCTTCCAACAAAGTTTTTTTAGGTCTATCTATAGATCTCCCCTATTAACTATAATACAATTACATTTTCTAACCGGTGCACTAAGAGGTCTCCGTTGTGCATGACCAAACTATCTTAGTCGATTCTCTCTTTCATTTTATCCTCAATAAGATCAACATATAATTTAATACGGATGCACTTATTTCTTATCCTATCTTTTGGTGTATATCCACAAGACTATCGCAACATTCTTATTTTTGTCACACTCATCTTTTGCACATGTTATTTTTAATTGTCCATCATTTTGACTCATAAAGCATTATTGGTCTTATAACCATCGTATAGAATTTTTCCTTTAATTTCATTGGCATCCTACTATCACATAAGACTCCTGAAGCACTTCTCCATTTATCCATTCATATTTGATTCGATGAACAATATCATCATCAATCTCACCATCATGTCAAACGATTGATTCTAGCGAAAATATTTGTAATGGTGAAAAGTGGAGAAACAAATAAATAACAACATTAAGAGGGTGTTTGGGGCGGTTTTTTTTTGCCAAACTAGCTTTTAAGCTATTTTTTTTATTTCTATCTGTTTGGTAAAAATGCAAAATAAATTAGCTTATAAGTTACATTTTAGAAAGCTAGTATACCCGAGCTTTTAAATAACTAATTTATAAGTTCACCTAAATAAACTAAGTTTGACCAAACAAATTACTATACTACCCAAATATTTTTAAAATTTTTTTATTATTAAAGTCAAAAACCACTAGAAACTAATATAACTTATAAACTTCAAAAATAAGCATTTCCAAATATCCTCTAAGTTAAGAATTTATTAAGGTACTGGGATTAGCAAGTTAGGCATGACCTAACAACCCACTCATTGTTTAACACCACTGTTAGAGAACGGTTGGGGTTAGTTGATAATAATGGACTCCTTATTTTATTTATTTATATAGGGTGATTACAAATTAGTCCTTAAACCATCTTTAATTGCCAAACATTCCCTCAAAATTTTAATTTTCTTGCAAATTCGTTCTTCTATTAGGGGTTTTATTAATTTCTTCAACTCTAGTTAGATTAAACCTTAACCCAACATCTAAAAATCCCATGAGTTTTAACATAAGGTTTTCTCTAACTCTAGTTGGAAATATTTACTGTTGAAAAAACTCTAAATTGGGTTTGAGAGAGCTCCTAACCGTTGGAGGAGAAGAAGAATGTGAATTTGAATTTTAGTTGAAGCTGGTTGTTAGTATAAACTCGTTGTGAAACAAGTTGGCAAGATTTTAAATGATAAAATCAATTATGGCTAGAAATATAACTTGAAAACCATCTAATTTCGTTAAAATTAACAAAAGTTCACTATCAAACATCACCTAACAAGAGGGACGAATTTGCAAGGAAATCGAAGATGTGTGAGATTAATTAGCAAATATTAATATTTTAAATGATAGGATTAATTACTGGCAGTGGTATAACGGAAAACTATTTAATTTCATTAAAGTTAACAAAAGTTCACTCTTAAATGTCACCTAATAAGAGGGTCAGATTTGCAAGAAAATCAGAGAAGTGAGAGACCAACATGCTAACACTGAAATTTGGGGGACTTTTCGCAATGAAGGATAATAAGGGACTAATACGTAGTTACCCCTCTATTTATTTATTGCATAATTATTTTATTCACTTTAAATGTAGGAAAAAAAGTGATTATTAATGAACAAAAAGACAGAACAAAGAGAAAGGGGAAGAGAGAAGCACAAATATTGTTTCCAATCTATTTCTTCTCTCTTTCTCTCTGTCAATAAAGAAAAACATAAGAGAGAGAGAAGAGAGGGAGAGATTGGTCTCCCTTCCTTTCTTCTTTCTCATTTCCTCCGAATTTTATCATATTTTATTCAACAATTTCTCTGATCGGATCACAGCCATCGCCATGAACGGAAAGGCATCGGTTTCCAAAGAACTCAACGCCAGGCACAAGAAGGTACCGATCGATTCCTTAGCCAGTCGCCTAATTCTCTCAATTTTAGGTCAAAGTTGCGATCTATGTCAATTTACTGCTCTACAACGAAATCGCGAGATCCGTGTATAAAATTAGGATATTGACCCGTAAAAATGGCGAATCTTTGCTTCAATTTGCATAGGAAATTAGGGTTTTGATGCTAGTCTAATTTGTATGATTAAAGGAGATGCTGAAATTTCCGAAAGTTTTCCGATTACACTCCAAATGTTTTTCTTATTTTGGATGAAAACAAGGCACTTGGTTGCTTCCCAGAGCTCCCTAAAGAAGAGTTATGAGGTCTGTCGGGTTTTGGCCCTTCAAAAGAAAATCAACGCGTCCTCCGTTGATTGATCTTCCTCTTTTGTTATTCATGCTGATGGCATGTGAAGCTCCTGATAACCTTGTGTGAGTTGCATTTCCAGTATCAGTCACATGTATGTTCAGATTCTACTTATTCTGGTGCCCATCCCATATGTGATTATTCACATACTGTTTTCCAAGAAATACTTCCATTTGGTTATCCGCAAGTGTTAGTACTCCTATTGAAAACACATATCTAGGTTCCCACATATATATTTTTGCATTCTCTTTGTTTGAATAATTATGTGAAGGATGTGCTAATGTTGGATTACCCATAATAAATCAATTTTATGCGCACTCTAAAATTCAGTAGTCCTTTATCCTTAGGAGCATTATTAGTTCAACTTCTGGTTTCTTGACCATGTTATTCTATAACTTACAACCATAGGTACACATCACCTGTCATATATCTGTAATTATATGCCATGTTGGCATTACCTGCATGTATAGATGTAAATGTATCCAAATAGTTCATTCCAAAATTGACTCTATATTTGTATTTTCACAAGTATGGATATCTATATCTGTTTTGTTTAGAAATGGATAGGGACATGGAAAGTGTGTTCCAACAAATATATGAATGGCCACATATCTGAATATACAAGAGTTATGTACATCTGAATATATATCGAGTCTATCAAGTAGTGCATCATGTAGCATAAAGCAACTTTTTATATGAATCAATGAACTCATGCTTCTATCAACAATTCAGTAATAGTCAATATGGTTAGTAGTGGTCTGAGATTTAGCTATTTTTTATTAATATGGAGATTGGATCTAGTATTTGAAAATATATCTTTATCTTGTCCACATCAAGAGGAAAGCAAATATCTTCTCTATTTGCAAGTTACAACCTACATGCATATAATCTTCAGGCTAATCTTATGATTCAAATCCATCTTTAATTCTATGACTATCCCTTGTCATCAGCCTTTCACAATGACACATGCTATATGACTCCTTTATCACTTGGTACTCTATGACTAAATTACATACATTGTGTTTCCTTGTGTTTTGCTTCGTTTAGCGAGTCAGGTCACAATTGAGATCTCATTATTTTAGTTGTTTCTCACAAATAGTGAAAAGGGAATAGCAAATGGTGAGATGACAGTCATGCATAAAGCTACGCAAGCTTAGAACTTAACTAAAACTTAAAACTAATTGTTTGAAATTAGTCGTAGATTCAAGATGGCCAAAAATCTTTATGGATATTTGAGCTTGTTGATTTCTCATGTATTGATAATTGATAAATGATTGCTCCTGCATGAATGTTCTCAACACCATCTTGTTAAACCAGTTCATAACAGTTGTCCTTGTACAGTTTCATATGATGGTGGCAGTTCCTAAATTCATCCAGAAAAACAGAATTTAAGCAGTTTTAAAGCACCACTAGTTGAAGTTACTTTCGACTTGAGGAGCCTTACTTTGGCAACAAACTGGAAAAAGATCTGAAGGCTTTTTCCTTTACCCTATAAATTTTTCTAGAAATATATCAAGAAAAGTTTGTGATCTTGGTATCAGAATTGGTTTTAATCCTCTTTCCGGATTCCAGTATTGGTTTTGGCACTTCCTGTGGCTTCACACAGAAATATTCTAAAAATTAATTAATAAGTATAAAAAAATAGTAAAGATTACTAGTAATATTTTGAACTTTTTTTGAATAATTGACAAATGTGTGCTACATTATGGTACAATCTGGTAAAATGTCCAGATGCCAACTATCTGTTTGTTCAATTTATTAAGCATAACTTTTATTGGCATAAACTAAAACTTAAGAGCCTAGGATGATTTTGATTGAAAGAATAATTAGAGATGTAAACATCAAGCCAAAAATATTGACTTTGTTTCTGTTTTAAAAGATGTTAGTTATTTCCCTACCTTTGGTGTATTTGTTGGAGAAAATTTGAGTTAGATCATTCTATATCTACGGTTGAATAAAGCTCAATTGATGATTAAATTCAGGTGTAAAGGGACGAGCATGTTTTCTTTTTTTAATTATATTGTGAAATTCTTGTTGAACTCCAGCTACTTTATTTGATTAGTTTTTTTTGGCTACTTGTGATTTATGTTATTTGTTGGCGTTTATCTGTTTTAGCCTGTATCGACTTGATTCAGGCGAAACACATTGCAACTTTAGTGCTTTTGAAACTCAATGCATACAACCTTTCTGATAAATATCGTTTTTATCAAGGTTTTAAATGTCAGATGTCGAGTTCATGTCATGTCAGATGGCTAAAATTCATGTCGGATAGCGAAAATCGGGGATATATCAGGGGATATGAAAAAAATATCGGATTGTCATATCGGATGGTGTGCATATGTGTAATATAAATATTATAAATGAAATCTAAACACACTTAATAAATTCTATTATCTGAACATATAAAAAAGTAAATAACCTATGATGCTTAGGTTGATGGTGAAGGAAAGATGTGAGAAAAAAGGACTCCAATGTTGACGGTTAAGGAGAGAGAAGATCGCCCGGTATTGATATTGAAGGAACAGCTCGGAGAAGAGACCGATGAGATATCGAAGGATAGAGAGAAGACGAGCGATGCAAATGACTTTGATTTTTTTTCCCATTTCCCTAACTGATTGGGTTTGTCTTTACAAGCAATATTAAGACAATCAAGAATTTAAGCCCAAACATGATTAGATAAACATAATTAAAAAAACCAGCCAATTTTTCAGACTGAAAAATCGGTGACATAGCCGACATGTTCCTCGATATATCTGCCCGACATATCCAACATGTCCCCCCATATATCCGACATGAACCCTGAAAACGCAATACGCATTAGAAAGCTCAATATTGTGTCAGTTGGCCCCTAAATCCGACATGTGGCCGACATGTCATGTTGGCCGACATTTAAAACACTGCTTTTTATCATATTGTTTTGGCTAAATTAAACCTGTACAATGCAATTCACATTGGTATTGCTAGATTTTTTGAACCTTGCTATCAAGTTTCTTTATTGCGCATGAAAGGTAATTTCAGTAGTCCTGAGAAGTGGGTAGTTGTATGTAAGAACGTTGTGTTAGAAAGGTGACAAATACCTTAAACAGATTGGATAGTCAATTTCTATTGTAGAGTATGGAGTATGGAGTTGAAATGTACAACTCTTAATTGTTTTTATTACTAAATATGCTGCAGGTTGATCCTTGCTCATATCTCACTGATTTGTCTTACTTGTTATTTAAACTCATTTCTTGTTTTTTCTTCTGGTTAATTCACTTGCAGATACTGGAGGGACTACTTAAATTGCCAGAGAACAGAGAATGTGCTGACTGCAAATCCAAGTAAATTACTAACACTTGGACATGCATGCATATATAAGCTACTTATATTCATTTCGATATGCTGGTTTGAAGATCTATCATCATCATCTAGGTTAAGTAGCTCAATGGATGGAATGCTAAATAGTTGTTTCCAGTTTCAACCTAATATGTATCCTCTTTGATTTCTTATCCTACCATATGTTAAGAAACTTATCCACCGTCCTTGGGCCTGTGAGCCGTGCATCCTTTTTCTCTATTTCTTATTCGGGATTTGGCTAATGACTTGTTTCTTTCTCTCAACTTTACTTGCGGAAACTTGCTTTCCTTCTGTGTGTCGTATGTAAACAAGCAAAAGATCCTATTTTCTATATAATGTATTGCAACTTGGGAAATGATACTATTATGGAATATTAGGGATTCATGCTGATATCTATACATCCTTGGAGAATCTTGCTGCACAATGAAGCTCCTGTAATATCGAACCAGGAATTAGTGAAAAATAAATATCTATCATTCACTGACTAGGTATTTCTTAATAAAGATTTTATTTGCATGAGATCTGTTGTAGTTATTCCCATTATCTACTCTGAAAAAAATTTATGAAAATGATTTGGTTAATCACATTGAAAATTTTATATGCTTCAACAACCAGCCAGTATTTCATTTTGCATCTGATTTTCTACCTTGAGGCTTGTAAATCCTGACAATTTATCAAACCTGTAAGATTTTGAGACTGTTGATCTTTCACAAATATTATGCATAGTGTTGCTCTTCTTACTGACATGTGGTACTTCTTTTCTTACTTTTTCTTAAACTCTTTTCTTCGGCTAATGTTGGGTTTTTCTATTGCAGAGGTCCACGATGGGCAAGTGTGAATTTGGGAATCTTTATTTGCATGCAGTGTTCTGGAATTCATAGGAGTTTGGGGGTTCACATATCTAAGGTCATTTACAATCTTACTCACATGTAGCATTTCTTCTATTTTACTTTCTGGCATGTCAGTTGTTATGAAAGATGCAAACTTAACCTTTTGGATTGAACTTTCGAAGTGCCTCACTGGAACTGTTCCATTTCTTGCTCAGTTAACTCATTGGTTATTCTCTAAGCTTGGCTGCAAGTTGATGAGTTACTTTTGTATGAATTATGCAATAGCCTTTAGTATTTAAAAAAATTGATGTATCAATCATGTTTCTATCTTCAACAATACTATAGTTAGTATTTTAATTCTTCATTGCTGCTAACTAATGCAATTTCGAGATGCAAGTATTTACACATTTTTGTGGTCAAACATCAAAATTAAAGGACACGTTAATTCTTGCATATTAAAAACTCATATAAAGTTTTTTTTCTTCTGAATTATGATAAATTGTTATTATTGCACTGATAATTATTGTATTAACCATATCTTTCCGCACTGATGTGTTTATATGTTGTTTTATATAGTGCACCATGCAGTGGCGGATCTAGGGAA